GCTAGATTCAATCACAGAGTGGGAATGAACAAATTGGGAACAAAGAGTTGTTGAATACCAAAAGACAGTTTGGGAACCGCTGTCGCGCCCAGGTGGACATTTGTCATCAGCAAAGTCTGTGACTTGTGTATTCGGGTAGATCAGATCACTACCGAGGGGCCGGACCGGGGGGCGCGGTATGCAAATCTCGGGGGCAGTGTCTTTCTTGTATTTTGCAATAAAAGTTCGAACCGGCGGAGAGGGAGCCGAGAGTGTGATCATCGGAGCAACTACCGTCGTTCGCTCTCAGAGATCCCCTCCCGCCGATATTGAAGACAATTTTCCTGTGTGCCGAGTCATTTCTTTAACTTTGTCCGAGAAAATCTCTGACACCGGGTCAGGAAACCTTTAAAATAAGGCTCCCTGAGCCGGTCAAAGTTACGAACCAGCCCACCGTGGCCGCCGTTGAAGCCATGTGTCACAGTCTTCTGGTCCGTTTTGGGGTTCAAGAAGAGCTTGCCATACATCATCCAGATAAATTTACAAGAACATTTTAAATACTCCAACATTTGGTTCTTGATTTGCAAATTTTAAACAGCGAATATGAAAATGTGGCAAAATTGAGAGGAGGTTGATCACATATCTTCTCTAAACCCGATTTATCAAAATTTCATAGCCCAAAAAGAACATGTCTGAAATTGATCTTCATTCTGGGTTCAATTTTAGAATTGATTAAATTATTCAAGACAGTCCAAAAAATGTGACCGGTAAATGGGCTGTCACTTACAGCAGTGTTTTTCAAACTTTTTTGAGCCAAGGCACACTTCTTTCATTGAAAAAAATCTCGCGGCACACCACTAGCTGAAAATGTACCCCCCCCCCCATTTTAACAATTAACGTGTTATATTGTTACTATAACCATTTTTAACATTGAAAAATGACTTTATAACAGCTTGAATTGGAATCAAATGAACACAAAGAAAACAGTATTTTATCATCTTTCATATTTATTGTTTCACCGTCGTCTTGCATTCATGCGTCACAAATTCACTTGTCTCTCGTCGAAACACAAGGCAATTGGCTAGCTGTTGGTGCTCCCTAACGGTATGGGAGGGTACTACATGATTACTTTCTAGGCCATAGACCGCACAGCCATACAAACTGGATACAGTATTTTACCGCGGCACACCTGACAATGTCTCGCGCCCAGTGTGCCGCGGCACACGGGTTGAAAAACACTGACTTACAGTATACATTATAGCTCTTTTCTAGCTTTGGTACTCAAAGCGCTCTACAGCGTTTTCTCATTTACAGTAACTGCGCAACTGGTGTTCAGTGTCTTGCTGAAGGACACAATGGCCGGGGATTGAACACCCAACCTCTGGGTTGAGAGATGACTACTCTACCACTCAGCCAGTATTTATCGGTACCGTTCCGAAACAAATGGGATATCAAAACAAAAGGAAGAGTCAATATTATATATATTTGTAGCTTCATTATTTCAGGGTAACACCTACAAAGTATTTTGAAAGTAATCTGCCGTAAATATTTTCTTGGCAAAACTAAGTACATTTCCAGTCTATATCCTCATATCTCTTGTTCCAGTAAAAAAAAATGCTGCAGGTTTTGAAACAATATCCCTTTGAAAATTTTCCCTTACAGAACAATTTGAGGCTGCATTATCAAAAAACAAGTCTGTCTGTGTAGAGTTTGGAATGCTGCAATTTAGATCTTTAGGAACAGAGATTAGCAGGGGTGGGAGGTTTACTTTAAACAAATATATACAGTATTCCAATAGAGTTACTAGTTACCGACTAAAAAAAAATACTTTGTCACGTATCACAATAAAAAGTGATGTAACTTGAATACTTCTGGATTACTCCGTCCCAACTATGTTTTAAAACTTTCAACAAACAAAAAAAAAATCAATGTGATTAGATTTTTACATATTTGGTCTTTTCTGTCAAATCGTTGTTTAATATGCCTGAGGAACCCACATTTCAAATCCAAAGCACAAGAACTGTGAGGCAGACGCACAAACCACTTTTGCAGTGGTGGGTGGATGGATGGAGGGATTGAAGGCCATGTGAAACAATGGCTGTTTTCAAACTGTCCGTGAATGTAACACCAATTTTCTCCAGCTTTTACATATTTTTAAGTTGATGTCATTAGCCAACGATTTATTCTGGAGAAGAGGACTGTTTTCTTTTCCAATGAGTTGGCCCACTTCGTCTGACGAGTAGCAGACAAGCACAACTCTTTCTTAAACAATGATTCTATGATCCGCGAGAGGTATCGGCAACATTTTCACCTTAGAGACATATTGAGAGAAGGGATGGGATACGAACCAAAAATCAGTGTGTGACTGTGATCAATGTTTTAAGTAAAGTCAGACGCTGAGAAAACATTATAAACTTAACTACTCGATCGTGAACCTTGGAATATGTATTTTAGCAGCTACATTACCAGCATAGAATTCAAACGCAAACAACAAATTAGAACCATGTAAGCGTTGAAAAGTTTCCTTTAGCAGCCAGGCATCCAAGACAACGTATGCCATACTTCACTTCCACCTCATCTCAGGAGTGAGGTCTTCCTTGGATTTCAGCTTCCTCGTCACCAGGAACTCCCAACCTTCCATGCAACATCCCTAAAGTGCCTCATGGCGAATTGTAGGATGACGTGTCTTGGCTGAGGTGAGGATAGTTGTTCATCTTGGCCCAAGTTTTTCTCAATCACGTCTTGAGTCTTTTCTTTGTTATGAGGAACAATATATTGACATATTTCAATGAGCCTCGACTTGGCCTTGGAGATTCTAGTTCCACCTTCTTTTATACCGTGCCAATTCCATTATCTCGTTTTCCATTCCTGGGACAGTCTTTTCCATTTTGTTGACTCTTTCTTCAGTTTTCATTCCCACACCTGCAGGTGCAGAGTTGATACTTTGGAGTTGATACATTCCAGGGGGTGGGTACAATAACAAGTTCTGTGAGAACTTTGACAGATGACGTCCCTTCGAGATGGCACACAAAAAATGGACCTCCAGATTCTGTCTTACGGTCAAGCAGGAAGCCAAAACAACAAGATTTAAAATCAAGTCGAAAAGCTCATGTAATAAAGTAATTCACAAAGATGATTTGGTATCATTAAATTTAATTTTGTGAATTTTGCAAAAATCAAACGTAGTTATCCTTCTTTAAAAAAAAAAAAAATCAAGAACGAAATGTTTTTTTTCAATTTTACTTTTTGTTATTTCATTGACTACAGTAAAATAACCGTGATACAGAGATGAAAGTGATGAGATAACTGAGCGCATCCGTCATGTGCAGCTCTGACTGGTTGTGACGCATTTCACTCCTCTCCTTCCCCGTTCACGATGTGTTAAGTCTCGAGATTTGTTGTACCGTCTTTTTCAATGTACGCTACATATGTGCTGAGGTTTTTCTCTCACGCTCAAACCATCCACCCATTTAAGGAGATTGGTTGGACTCTGTCAGGTTTTTTCCCCCTCCTCTTCCTGACTGTTTTTTATTTTCACATCAAAGACATTAGGGCGCTTTAAAAACAAAACACCAGGCTTCCCATTCTGTCCCCCATGTTGGTCATTGTTCTCTTGTTTATGTTCTTCTGGACGGATTTTAGTGGAACTGGCAAAGTAAATTCCTTGTGTGGTTTTGCATACTTGGCCAATAAATCTGATTCTGATAAGCTTGGCTATGAATAGTTAGCAGCATCGTATGTAGTCTAATTGTCTTATACATACATAGTACCACGAACCCTTCTGTAACCCTTGTGCTGCAATTTCTACGATGTTTGTAACACATGGGTTACCCCATATGTTACAATTTCTACAATTTTTGTAGATTTTTGCAATTTTTGTAGATTTTTGCGTATTGTCATCTTTAAATCAAGACGTACACAGACGTATAGCTCCAGCTGTTGTGAAAGCGCTATGTAAATCAGCATGTATTGTATTGTATATATCTTCCATTGCTATTCGATTTCAGAGCACGAACTCTGTTGATTTTGAAAAGAAAAAAAATATTTGTATGTTTTGCACAGGAGACCTGCAAGACTCAAAAACAAAATGTGTGCGACAAGTTCAGACGTATGTTCTCAATTCTGGACGAAAGACTTGTTGTGAGTTTCGCGCCAGTGTATGGTTCCTTCCTTGGAGAGCGATCAAGGACTAAAACGTGAACTTTGCTTGTTTGTGTGTGTGTGTGTGTGTGTGTGTGTGTGTGTGTGTGTGTGTGTGTGTGTGTGTGTGTGTGTGTGTGTGTGTTGTCACCACGAAGTCCATGTCGGAGCGAATTAGCAAGGATGAGGTGGAGAAGTCCGGCTCTGGCCAACTGCTTACTCGTTGCTATGGAGACAAGGTGGAGGCCAACAGGAAGCTGATGGAGAAGGCAGTGAGTGCAATGGAGGATCCCAACATGGCAGGTTTTGTTCAGGTCAGCTCACACTCTCAGGTTGTGTTACTGTACAATGTTTGTTAGCGTCACTCAGACATAAACACAACCCTTGTTCGACTTGCGGGTCCCATTGCTAAGGGTCTGCATGAGTCCAGTACGGATCAATCTTCTCCCACTCAAGAGGCATGGGCAAGCTGGTGGATGCCTATGATTTGATTTGATATATTCTTAGCCAGTTGGCAAAACATTACTCAACTAGCATCTTCAAACAAAATCACATACCCTGTATTTGCAGTGAACCACACACACACACACACACACACGCACGCACGCACGCACACACACACACACATTCACACACAAAACAAGAAACAAAAAATATGTAAATAAACAAAGCCAAGCAAGCAAATTGAGCAGATTGGACTGAGGTGGGCCCTTGTCCAGTCACCGAACCCCAACCCCATAGTTAATCAAACGATAGTTGATGCCACAGCTGCCTCCTGCACAGACTCAACTAAGTGTGTGGGCCAGGATGGGGTGCCAACGAGGCAGCAGACTCTGTGGGGCGTTGGCATGTTCGCGCACAGCCGTCCCAGCGCTGGAGAGCCACCCCGGTCCAGAGGAGCTGTCCAGCAGGGGGCCCTCAGATGGTGGGTCATGGCTGCCTGTTAGTCAGTGCAGTGATGGGGCGAGTGATCCCATGGTTGGGCCAGGAGGCCGCTCATGGTGCTTAATTTGAGGTTACGCAGCTCAGGAAGTCGCCCCGGAAGTGTTTCTGCAAATGACAAAGTCGCACAGAGCATTGGGCGGGATGGCCTGTGTCTTGTCCCTTTGTGAAGCAAAGCAAAATATTTTGGATAAATAAAGGCTATTAAAAAAAAAGAAAAAAAGTGTTTATTTCAGTTTTCTTTAGCAGAGTGCTTCTCCCCCCATTTAACTCTTCTGGCTTTTACTTTTAGTGAAAATGCTTGATACCTGTGAAGAGTGAAATATGTTTCAAAGTATTTATTTTGTTCTTAAATATACTACATATAGTATTCATCGTGCATAGAGTAGTTTTTTGGTTCCATTTTAAAATGCACTAAATATATTCAGCTACTGTAAAAATGCTGCCTTTATAAACATGTTAGGAATGCTGGTACAAGCTGCAAAGCTGAATGTACAATTATCTTGATTGTCTTCATTTTTAATTTGTGCATAACTTAAAGAATTCAGGCTGTGAGATAATAATGGATGAATATATATGAGAGCTGCTGCTTGCTGGTGCGTTATGCTGTGGTTTATATATCATCCGAATAGTCGACTAAGTGCTAATAATAATAGTAATAAAACATTTTATTTATAAGCGCCTTTCAAAACGCTAAAGGACACTTTACAATCAAGAACAAGAACAATTAAACCACAGATAAAATAATAAATAATAAAAGAAGAGAAGAATTTAAGCTGAGTATGCGATTTTGGATGGGTGGGTTTTGAGATGGGATTTGAATGTGGGAAGAGAATCAATATTACGGATGTTGGGTGCAAGTGAATTCCAGAGTTTGGGGGCAGAGGGGCTGAAAGCTCTGCACACCATCGTGCTGAGACGGGCAGGGGGTACACAGAGGTGGAGGGAGGATGAGGACCTGAGTGAGGGAGAGGGAATGGAAATTTGAAGAAGACCTGACAGATTGGGGGGGGGGAAGGTTATGGATGGCTTTGAATGTATAGAGAAGTATTTTGCAGTTGATTCTAGGTTTGACAGGGAGCCAGTGGAGCTGTCGGAGGATGGGGGTGATGTGATGAAGGGAGAGGGTTCTCGTGATGATCCGGGTTGAGGAGTTCTGGACCATTTGGAGTTCATGGAGGAATTTGTGATGGACACCGAAGAGAAGTGAATTGAAATAATCAATACGGGAGGTGACGAGACTGTGGACAAGGATAGCGGTGGTGTGAGGGGATGGAGAGGGACGGAGACGATTGATATTATGTAGGTGGAAATATGCGGACCGGGTTATGTTCTTGATGTGAAAGTGGAAAGATAGTGAGTTATCTACTGAGTGAGAAGTGAGTTGCTACTGCTATCTGTGATTAATCGACCAACAAAATAATCATTTGTGGCCCCTCCACGTAAGAATTGTCATTGCATTGTCGACACGGAACCTGGGTTAGTGCTCAACATTAAGCTTTATGTCCACATGCTATGCAGAAAAAACACAATTCTATTGAACACGCAAAACTTTCTGGGACACTGGTTCTATTTTAAACCAAGGGAAATGTGTTCCTATCAAACTGTCACATTTGAACAGTCTCAGCTGTCTCACAGGTGAAGAAATGTGTTGACCAGCTCTATTTTTGTCTCTCATCCCACAGAATTCCAAAGAGTTGATTGCAAAGTGAGTAGTCACACAGAGTGGTTGTGTCAATCAAAATGGGTATGATTTTTCTGAGTGGAACACTTCCCAGGTAGTCTTGCCCTCCACGCCGATCTTTGCTCTCCAGGGTCAAAGCTGCTGCCAGTTTCAGTTTGGCTGAGACAGTCAGACCAAGCGCCGACAAGCTGAGACGATTCAGGTGCAACTTCAGCCAGCAGGAGTGGGCCATTGCTGCCATTGACTTCATCACACGTACGTCACAATTCAAGAACTCTGTTGGTTTTTTTGTTAAAGGGGGTTTGAGATCTCTGAGCAACCTAATGGTTTCATGGTGGGACAAGAACACTATTGATATCCAAAGGATATCTGCTCCATCTAGTTGTTTTGTCTCTTTGCCAGTTGAAGATTGTACAAAACCAACACAAAATACAGAGACGACAGCACCACCTTTGCAAACTGAAGATGAGCCCACGGAAGCACCCCTTTGGCACTCTGCCCCACCATTGGGACTTTCAGAAAGCTCCATCCAGGACGTGGATTGTGAGGAGGAGCAGCTCCCGATGAAAGAGGAGGCAGGAGGAGAAGCAAAGGAACTTTCTGATTCTCAAGGCGAAATGACGGCTGAGATAGGCACACAACAGGTACATACTCATCAAACGTGGTCCAACCCTTGATCAAGAAACCTGGTCTTGATCCAGATGTGCTGTCAAATTTCAGGACCATTTCCAAACTGCCTTTCATTTCAAAAATTCTGGAAAAAGTGGTGCACATGCAGTTGAAATTTTTGTTGGATGAACATAACATTTTGGAGGTCTTCCAGCCAGGTTTCAAGACGATGCATAGCACGGAGTCAGCCCTGTTACGCGTTTCTAATGACATCCTGCTGGCAAATGACACTGGAGACTACGTGTGTCTAGTTTTATTGGATTTAACTGCAGCATTTGATACAGTGGATCACAGTATTCTGCTGACTCGTTTGCAGCACTTGCTGGGCATTGGCGGTAGCGCTCTTGAGTGGTTTAGGTCCTATTTAGCTGACAGAACCTTTTGTGTCAGCCTTGGCTGTTGTGAGTCACGCACTGCTCCCCTGTCATGTGGTGTTCCACAGGGCTCAATTCTGGGGCCTCTGCTGTTCTTGCTGTATCTGCTCCCATTGGGTTCCATCTTAAGGAAATATGGTATTTCCTTCCACTGCTATGCAGATGACTGCCAGATCTATGTCCCACTGAGCAAAAAAGACGCCTTCTCATTAAGGCCACTTCTATCCTGCCTGGAAGAAATCAAAACCTGGATGGCACAAAATTTCTTGACTTTCAATGAAAAGAAGACAGAGGTGACACTGTTTGGACCCATTGGCCCTTGTACATCCCATCGTGTAGACTTGGGCCTCCTGTCTCCTTATCCTAAGTCAACAGTCTCAAACTGTGTAAGGCCCAAGCCTTAAACTGGACAGTGATTTCAAACTTGACCGGCAAATTGGTGCCGTT